GATAACTTTCCAGCCATGTTTCCAGCCACTCACACACGGCTCCTGTTCTGTTGATGCACCTGTGGGAGTCCCGGCGGTCTTCCTGAGGTGGCCGAGAAGGCATCTGGTCAGCCTGAGTGTACCTTCATGTGCCTGCATGTGGACTGTAGCCATTGCAGGCCTGTGTCCAGTGTGGCCCATTCCTTCTGTCAGTTCACACTACACCAGACATGGGGAGCACCACTAGTCTTTCACAAGGTTTCTCCCACTGTGGACAGTGTCACTTGATGTGCGTGTCCTGGTCATCGCCCATCTGGCCTGGATCCATCTCGAATGTCTGTGGCCTATGGATACACAGGTGGGATGAGGGAACCCCCCTGAGGGGTGCTGCACTGACTTGGGCCCAGCATGGGTCCCCTCTTCTGGCTTAGCATGAGCCTGGGGTGAGCTGGGAGGTCCTGGGGAGCTTTCCAAGTTTTCCATCCAGGTTGGACAAAGAGGAGACAGTCCTAGAGCTCAGTGCCCTCCCGACACCAGCTCCCCCGAAGCCCTGCATTAAACCTGGTCAGGAAGTCCACCCTGGGGCCCAGCCTGTTGAAGGTGGTCGGTCACCATGATAACACCTCCCAAGTGGGTGATCACGGACACTAGCTCACTCTGGGTACACTGCAGGTCCAACCTGTCACTCAGCCAGGGTGGCAGTGAGTGTCTCTGCAGAAGTCAGATGTTCCTGAATCCTGCAGTTGCCCACAGGGCCCAGGGGTCTTTTCCATGACCAGTGCCAGGAACACTTCCTGGACCCCACTCAGATGGCAGCTGGGCCCCCAACTCCTACATTTGCAGTGAGGGAGGGTAGTCTCTCTGATCCTAGCCTTTTGGGGCTATCTCTGGTCTTCTTGTCCTCTGTGACCACTGGGCCTAGGGTACCATTCTGGCTTTTGGGGATGGGGTCCTGGGGCGTAGCCCCTGTGACACTTTCTGGTGTGCTCCCATCCTGGGAAGGGCACGGCTGGAGCTCTGGCCTGCCGAGACTCCAAGGCCACGAGCTGTGGTTGTTACTTGAACTTGTTACTCCACACCTGTGGTGCTTGTCAAAGCTGGCCCAAGAGGAAACTGTCAGTCCCTGGCACCTTTGGCCCAGATCTGCATACTTGGCTGCTGTCACTTGCAGCTTGGCCGATGTAAATTTTTCTTCAACGACCTTTTGACAAAAGTGCTTGGTGCTGCATGGACGTGGTTAAGAGGGTGCAGCCTGGGGACTTCCCTGAGCTGTGGGTTCTGTGGGGGTCGTCTCAGAGACCTCACTGACGTGGGTGACAGCGTTCTCTGTATGTGGATGTTTCAGATGGCCCCAGCCCTGTGCAGCCCTTATTAGATCCCCCAGAACCCCAAGGTTAGCAGCACTGAGGCACATGCTGCTCTTCATAAATGCCGGCTAGAGAGATCCTAGTACCAAGCAGGATGGGTGAGCACCAAGACAGCGAGGACCTCATGGTCCTTCTGAGCAGTGCGTGGGGTGTGTGAGACAGGAAGTGCTGTTCCAGGGAGAAATCAAGCAAAGGCGGAAGCCTTGGGGAACTTTGTAGCAGTTGCTGGCTCCAGTGATCTGAGTTTTCTGGGACCAGCTGGTCCTGGGGACATGCAGGTCACTCTGAGTGGACTCTGGATTCAGTGCCCCAACAAGGGCTATACTGATCCTGACTTGGGGCCCTGCTGTGGGGAGCACAGGGGACACCAGCCACCTTCACCTGCATGTGGAGGTGCAGGTTCCCCCACTCCTCATCCCTGTGGGTTCTGCTCCACACCAGCTCAGCTCACCCTGCCTGTCTGCCCAGGGACAGTATTGGGCCACCTCTGGTCCTGTTGACTCGTCCCCCAGGGAGGGAAGAGACATCACTGACACCATACTCTGGCCACAGCCCATACCTATGATGTTGCAGGTCTGCGCCAGCTTTTCCAAGATTTTGCCCAATGCTCATGAGAACCACGATGGGCAGGAGGCATCTGATACCAGGTAGCATTTTTACTCTGATAACAGTCATTTGCTGATGCAAAAAATAGAGTTAATTCCAGGGCCCTGGGTCATTTTCCACCATGTCTACACTCAAGGTGGAGCCTGGAAACATGGTAATGCATACGTGCTCATGGAGCCCTGGTGACCAGGGGACCCTGCAGACACGTGGAATATCCCCCCCAATCATGGTGCCCCAGTGACCAGGGAGCCTGCTCCTCCCCCAGCCCCCACACACCTCTCTCTGAGTTGATGCTGCCCCACAGTTGGCCTCAAGCTGGAGCCGGTGGGAAAATGGAGGTAAACAGTGGCCCCACTCTGACCCCTGGAATCAGCAGCCTACCCTAGGGCACAGGGCTCCTCAGTCTCCTTGATGCCACCAAGAAAGCATCAGAGACTAAGAGATGCCACCACACAGCCCCTTCCCAAGGGTGAGGACCCGAGTTCTAGATGCTTGCCTGGCTTATGGCGGCCGTACTGCACGGGCAGGACCAGGATGCTGCTATGGCATAGATCTTTGCCCACGAGCTGCCAACGCCAGCCCTGATACAAAACAGTTCAGAAAATCAGCACTACAAATATTGCAAACTAATAAAAGTGAGAGTGATCTCTGGTGAGATGGAGCATGCTGGGAGAAAAAGCTTGCTTGGTGGTTGAGAGCCTCCGAGAAAGGCAGCGTTGGCTATGGAATTGAACCTTCAAGTCTGCACTGGTATCCTGTGAGCACAGTTCGCATGCGGATGTGTGACGGTGAGCCTGGGCTCCAGGGACAGAGTGGGCTGAGGCTGTGTGTTCAAGCCCCACCCCGAGATGTTCCGCCTCGCTCCACGGCTGTGCTGGGAGTGGGGCTCCCTGCAGACGCTGCCTCTCCACAGGCCCGACTGTGTCGCATTCTACCCAGGCCCCTGCTGAGGGCTGTGCTCTGTTCTGTCCCATCCCAGGCCTGAGGGTGTGACCTAACTTGGAAACAGACTCTTACAGGTATAAGCGGGTTACAGCGCAGTCACAGGGGTTATAGTGGGCACTAATCCAGCATCTAGTGTCCTTATAAGGAGAAAAGATTGAACACACAGAGCCAGAGGGGCGCTCAGGTACAGGTGAGAATGATGCAGTCATAATCAAGGGATGTCTGGAGCCACCGGAAGGTAGAAGAGGCAGAGGGATCTATCTCTGGAGCCTGTGGAGGGAGCGTCTGGCCAGAACCACACCTTGGGCCGAGTTCCGGGTCCCAGGACTTGACTTGAGAGGACAAGCTTCTGCTGCTCTAGGCCACCGTGTCTGTGCTGTTTTGTTACAGCAGCCCCAGGGGATACACACCTCTGTGGAGGGAGCCCTGCATCTGGGGCTGGGGCTGCTGCAGGGATCCCAGCTGGGCGCACAGCTCAGCCTCCCCTGCCTGGCCTTCTCTGCCACTCTTCCTGACGCTGGCTGCTCCTGGGGTCCAATACCCGCTCATCCCAGGCTCAGTGATGGGGCTGGGAGCCCCCTCTGTCCCAGGGAGGGCACTTGGGAAACGGGCAGGCCCTGCATGGGAGGACATGGCCTGAGCCCTTTAGGCTAAGGCTGTGCCCTTTTCACTTAATCTTACCCTTTACCCAGCTGGCTCTGTGAGGAGGAGATAGAGAAGCCTTTCTGGCCTCAGTGCCACCGGCCGTGGTTGCCCCAGGACCTCCTTAGCATGGGGAGCAGCATGGCTGGTCCAGTGGCTGCTCACAGGAGCCTCAATAAAGGGACGAGGAAGGACATGGCTTTGCAGCCCTGGGTGGCCTCCCTTTTTGTCCCCAGCCCTGATGCTGCTTTTGAAGTTCTGGTTGCTTTGCGGGCACTAATCGTGCCCAGTGTGTGGCCCCTCTGCCAGCCCCGATCCCGAGACGTGGCTCGCATCCAGACAATGACCATGGTGGCCTGGCCAGCAGCAGACTCTTGTGTCCCCAAGTTCACAGGCAGCTGTGATCAAGGCTGCCTGAGAAGACCGAGCCAGCACCAGAGATGCTGCCTGCAATGGCTTCTCGCTGCTCTGAAGTCAGGGGCTGCCCGAGCTTCGGGGGCCATTTGGCTTCTGAAGTCAATGCCAGTCCTCTGCCTTCCAGGCTGCTTCTCGTGACCTGTGTCCACTCTCAGGACACACAGCCGCTTGGGGGCAGAGTGGTTATTCTGTGAGGCTGGGCTCGGAGTGGAGCCAGGGCAGCAGAGGGGGGCACACCGAGTGGGTCCTGCTAGGCCGCCCATCAGGAAAAGACCCCAGCAGATGGACTTCAGACCCTCACGTGATCCCAAAAGAGCGTGGCTCACTTTAACTCAGGGCCGCCAACTGGCCAAGCGCAAAGCGAAGGCTCCTGGTGTGTCAGGAGGTAAGCAGCAGGCAGGGGAGGAAAGCTTCACTGGTGTTTACAGCCGCTCCCGGTGACCTGCATCACAGCCTCCATCCAGATCAGCACCGGGACCAGATTCTCATACATTATGAGCAGGCAATGCCTGAGGGCCTGGGGTGAAGCTGAGGTGGGGATGCTCGGGACGGGCAGCAGCTGCAGACACAGATGAGTGTGGGCAGAGAGGTCTGACAGCAACCAATAGGAGGTTACAGAGTGGGCCGGACACAGCAGCGCACTCTCAGTGTCACTGCGTCCCGTCAGTTCCAGATGGGACCGTCTAGGTGCAGAAAAAAGTAAGTCCAGGGCTCCTACTGATTCTGCACTATGGTGAGTTGTGTCAATATTTCATTATATTACAATGTGATGATAATAGAAATAAATGCACAATAAATGCAATGTGCTTGAATCATCCTAAAACCACCCCTCCCCTAATCTGTGGAAAAATTGTCTTCCATGAAAACTGTTCCTGGTGCCAAAACTGTTGGGGACTATGCTCTGACCAACACATTTTAAGTACTGATTTCTAAGGCTGTATTTGTCCTTATGGTTTTAGACGTGTGTGGAGTGGACAGAAAGGCTGGCATATTTCTTTTTTTTCTTTTTCTTTTTTGGTACAGGGATCGAACTTCGGACCTTGCACTTGTGAAGCAGGCGGTGGAAGCACTGGGCTAAATCCCCGGCCTGCATATTTCTTCTTTTAGGAAGGTTCAAATCATAACTTGGTACACAGATATTTTTGTAGAGATTTTAAAAATGACAGAAAATTAGACACAGCCTTGTTCGCTATACTTTCAATAGGTGAATGCAAATTCAATCTTGGGGAGTTAAAAAAATCATAAGACCTGTGTCCTGCATCTTTTTATTTTTGTTACTGGTGGTGTTTACTTGCTCTTCACATCTATTTGAATGTTGACTTTCCAACTAAAAGTCGTGTGTTTGATCATGTTATACGTCACCATGTGTACATAATCTACACCCATACTGAGCAGCTCAGCACGTGAAGGCTCTGAGTGTGACACTCCATTACTCTGTTCTCAGGTTGACGGGGTGTATAAATATGTAAACAGTAACCTGTGTCGACACATGAAGTCATACCGTGTTCTGGAATAAGTATGCGCCAGTCACTGTATGTGACGGCATCATGTTGGAATTTAATGCATCTTATGTCCTGATTGCCTTTCGACTGCATCTCCTTGGTGTATGTCTCACTTTATTTTGCTTTTCTAACCTTTTTATTTGTAGCGTGCCTTCAGAACAGGGGGCTACTTTAGACAATTGACTTCCCAGTCTTTGCCTTTCAGTAGTGGTGGGTGCCTAGCCCATTGCATTTACGGTGGTCACTGATACCAAAATCCTGTCCTGAACACTATGTTCTAGGATAATTTCTGGCTGTGCTCCTTCCTGGTTTATCTCATCTTTGCACAGTTTTGCAGATTCCACTTGCTTTCCTGGTTGCAGTGCTTTAGCAGGAACACAGCCTCTGCTTCTGTGAGTACTCATCAAATACACCGCTAATGCAAGGCCGCTGCTCTGAGGACTGAGTCGGTTACGGGTCCCTCTGACCATGCAGGGGCGAAGGGTGGCCCCTGCACCCGGATGCTGCTGCTCCCACCCACAACCCTCATTAATTCCACCAGAGGGTACAGACCAGGGCATTACTGCGAAAGACTTCCTTTTTACAATGCGCACAATATATTAAAACGTGGTGCTGTGTGTTTAATCTTCATTTTTGTAGCCATAGCTACAGAAATTATTTATATCCAGCTCCTGCTCTTAATTGGTATCAATGGTGACCATTAATCTTCTTACGTGTGACCTTTTCCATCTTTGGCTCCTGATTTTGATGTCTGTCTTCGTTGGCTTGAGTGCATCTTCTATTTTCCTTTTCAGGACAAGTGTGTGGGCGGCATACTTTCTAAATCCTTGCAAATCTGTTCTGTTCCCTTTTACCAAAAAGAATCAGGAACAGGGCTGAATTCAAAGGCAGAATTACTTTTCTATCAGAGCCCCGGAGGAAGTGGTGCCCATCTCACTTGAGCTCAGAGGACAGCCTGCGTCTGGAGGTCTGCAGAGTCTATCCCTCCACACGCCACAGCAGCTGCACGGTGATCACACAGGTTTCCTTTATCACCGACATCCAAATTTGTGGCCCTGAAGGGCTGGGCCCAGGATGGCTGGGTTATGCTTCTCACCGGAGCACCTCTTCGGCTTGGCAGATGGGAGAAATTTCTCTCCCACACCATCTTCCAAGCCTGCACCTAGTCTTCCCCTCTGCCATCCCCCCGCTCTGAGTGCCCCGTGCTTAGGTTGGACATCGAAGCTCCCACCTTCCTTCCCTGTGCTCCATTTCTCTGTCTCCTATGAATTATCACTTGGTGTTAAAATTGGTATCACGTCACTCTTGGATTTTCCGCAGGACAGTTCTGTTATTTGTAACCTCCAGTACATGTTTACATTCCACGCTTGCATTTTCGGGATCCTCATATTCAGCCCCTTTTTCCTGGCGGATCTTTCGGGTCTGCCTTGCATCCAGGCTCCCCTCTGCTGTTGGCGCCTGTGTCACCACGGCCACCTCAGCCCGTGGGACTGAGAAGCAGCATCTCTAGAGGCCACATCATCACTGTCAAGGGCTCTCTTCAGGGCCACGGACCCCTCCCCACAAGCAGTGCTCTTCTGTCTCAGGCTCCTGACTCAGTTTCAGTGTTGATGCTTTTTAGCCAGGAAGGTCAAAGCCAGCCTGGAATCCAGGAGGCTTGGCGGGCACATCCTCAGCCGCCTCTGTCCTGTAGGTTGGGGAAGGCTGGCTGGGGAGACTGGGGTGGGCAAGGCCCTTGTCTTCAGGGATACTCAATAGGCTCTCACTAGTGGGAGGAGCCACTGTACTAGGCTCCCTGCCCATCAGGGGACCAGGGCGCAAGGAGGGAGTAGAGGCCTGGGCAGGACTAAAGTCACTGTCACGGCCATGTTCAAAGGTTGATACCTGGGTATCCGCTGCTGTCAGGCACCAGGGGCATCCACTCCGACCTCAGCCCATGCGTGTTCCTCTTTGTAAGTCAGGATGTTACTGAAGACTGCTGTTTCCCAAACATACTGGACACTCGAGGCTCACAGATTGGGGGGGGCTCCAGGGGGGAAGCACTATCCCTCTGTGACTCACAGGTGCCACCGGTCTGTGGTGGAGCCTGGAACAGGCCTCTCTCTGGCAAGGCACAGCCAGGTGTGGTCACACACAGCCCAGGCTGAGGTGGGGGATGCTTCTTGAGTATGCAGCAGCAGACCTGTGGTGCCAGTGCGGTGTGTGAGAGGGCGGAAGGCATTGGTTCCATTGCTGGCATCACCTGCCCAGTCTCTGGTTTAATGGGGAGCTGGCATCTATAGCAACTCTGATAGAGACATAAATCCTTCGGTTTCATTTTTAAAGACTAATCTTTAACACACGACTCTGCCAAATGCCTTGCCTCATCCCCACTGCAGCATTCGGGAGCTACTGGGCGGCTGGCAGAGCCCCTCTTCCTGTCTGCTGCTGTCTGGCCAGTGTCACAGCTGGGCTGAGGAGAGCAGGCCACATCTGGGCATGCGAGCCACAGGCACCAGGACAAGGGGACTGCCCGCCTCGGCAGGACAGCAGCCTGGGCATAAGGACCTCAGCCTTGGCCCAGGGACCCAGCTCCTGGATGGCTCAGGAAGGGGCTCTGGCCCTATTTCCACCTGTTTTCCCACCTTACATACCTGATCTTACTTTTCTAGCACAGCTAAGGACTGAGTTTACTTATCACTAAGCAATTTCCTCTTAGAGATTCTAAGGACATCTTAAGCCAATCACCACCGTCGAGATGGGGCTGCCCAGTCTTCGAGCGGGGTAGCAGCTGCACGCAGAATGACACAGCAGGTCAGCCACACGCAGGCTGACTGGGGCCTGGTCCAGCAGGCGGCAGTGACCATAGGGTCCCTTATGGGGATCTTCCCGTAGGCATCTGACTTTGCCGTAGAATGTGACCTTGCCCTTCAGGGCTAGAGAGGCGTCCTCTTTGGGCAAATGGAACATTGCCTCCCATCTGTCCAGCAAACACTTCAGATTTCGGTCCTAAGCAACCACGTGGCTCTGCAGCATTGAACAGGCCCAGTGCTCGAAAAGCAGCCCCTCCAGTGGCCACTGAGGAATCCACCAGTTTCCTGAGATCAAGGGCCACCTGCCTCAGCCCTGGTGCTGGACATGCAAGAGGGATGGAGGGGAGGGACCAGGCCCAGTGGCCGGTGGGGAGAGGCGGAGCCCATGACCCAGGCCCATTCTACCCCTAACCCTGGTCTGTACCCTCACCCCTGCCCTTCACCACCAGGCACCGGGCAGGCTGCTCAGGATCTCTGCAGCACCGGGAGCACCCTTCTCACATGCCCTGAGTGACACAACAGGCTCCGTTCCCCACTTCCCCCTAGGTCAGCTTCCTTGAATTTCGGCCATTTGCCATTTATGTATTTAAAATGATTCAAAGAACAACTGCTTTAAGGAAAATTGAGACTAATGCAGCACAATTACTGTAAATAGAGACCAGCGTATAATGTCACCCATTACTAAAAGTGCCTGCAGAAACAATGTGGGTTTGGCCAAACCAATCTTTTTGTTTCTGGGCTCATTTCTGCGGAGCAAATGAAGAATGTCACTTCTGACAATAACGCGCTGATGTGGCGCTGGCCATACACGTTTTTGTTTACACACGGAATCTATTAAAATGTCCGGCTATTATTGTGGTGATGAATAGCAGTGATTCAAAAGAACACAAAATAGATTGCAGACAAGGCTCAGAGTAATGACTTGGTATTTTTCATTGTTTGTGCCGAACAAAGATTAGTTAGGGTGTGTGTCCTGGGCTCCCGGGGGCGCAGCGCCCCTCGCCCGCCTCGTCTCTCAAGAAGCTTTCTGATGTTCATCCGCTTTGTCCTTGGGACATCACGTTCTGAGATAGTCTGGATCGATCTGCAGTGGCGGGTTACGGCACAGTGCTGACTCTGCTCCTCCGGGGTGAGAAGAGACAGTCCTCCCCCTGCTGCCTGGGACGGTCCTGTGTTCTTCCCTACGCGCATCGCCGTTGTTCCCGGCCAGAGTGCTCTTTGGTGGACAGCGAGCCTCCTGTTTATCCCAGGAATGGCTTCCTGTGGGCCTCAGAGCTGGGTCCCCTCCTCGGGTCCTAGAGGACAGGGAACGGGCAGGTGTGGGAAAACCTGGTCCCCAGATGTGTGTTGAAGCTAGGCTGGTAGCTTGGGGGCCACATCTACCTCCGTCCCCACAAGGGTGCACACAAGGAATCTCCAGGTAAGCACCCCTTGGTCCACATAAAGCAGATTCCCTGCCCTTTCCTTCCCAGGCCAGGTGCACAGCAAGCTACACCGTGCCCTCCAAGGCCACTGCCCACCCGGGGTGGGATTGTCACCCAACGAGCTGCTCGGAGATGGTCCCAGGGGGCTCCTTCCTGCCTGTTTCTCCTCTGGTTCTGGAGAACTTCTTGAGCCCAGCTCTGGCACCCGTGTCCCTCTTCGGACCTGCCCCGTGTGATGGAGGAGGAGGCCTTGTGCCTACTGTGGGCTCCCAGGCAGAGGCTGCTGGAAGGTGACCGGATGGCCTCCTGGGGCACCTGAACGTCTTGGAGCCCACACTTGTGCTCCGCCACTGTCTCCAGCTGCAGGTGACTTCCTGGAAGGCCCAGGGGCCAGCTCAGAAGATGTCCCTCTTACCAGCCACGCTAGCTCAAATGTCACAGAAGAAGTGGCTCAGGGGAGCCCCATGGTGGGACTGGCACCAGGGTGAAGGGCTGGGTGTTCCCAAGCTGCTTGTGGGGCCTCAAACTGGCTGCTGCCCACTGTACCCGGGGCCATGGCCAGAGTGGTGGGGACTCTGCCTGGGGTTGGGACACCTGCCTGGTAGGACAGAATGCACTGCCTCTCACTGGTTTTCAGGGGAAGTGGGCTCACAGCAGGATGCCCTGGGGTCTATAACAAAGGCTCCTGATGGCAGGTGCACCTCACTGAATGCAGAAACCGCGCACAACGGGAGGAGTCACACAGCTGACTCTGGGCTCATCAACTGAACCAGGGCTGTACTTCCTCCTTACCGGGAACAGAGCTGCTGCTCCCAGCCCTCAGGTGGCAGGCAGAGTCCAGGCACAGGCACAGGCACAGGGCACGCCACGGTGGGTCCAAGGGAACTGCTTCAGGGTAGAGGGGAGCAGGAAGCGGCCCTGGTGAGAGCAGGCCTGGAGATGCTGTACCAGTTCCAGGGCGGAGGTGACAAATTTCACCCACGCCCCCAAAGTCCAGAACACCAGGGTGAGGGAGCCCCTTGCCACCATGAACAGGAAACAGGCTACAGAGGTTCCCAGCCACAAACAGAGGGAGGAGAGCAACATGGGACAGAGACTCGGAGGGGGCTGTAGCAGTCCCATCAGTTCAGAAGCTGCTGATGTGAGATTCTGGGGTGGTCTGAAGGGCGGGGAGGGCGCCTGGCCAGCCAGGGCCAGAGCCAGCACAGGTGTGAACTGGGCGGAGGAGAGCCAGGCTTGGCTGTGTGCTGGGCAGCAAACAGGACCACAGGCTCCTGGTGAGGCTGTGGCTGGGCAGACACTGGGGTGTGGCAGGGCTCAGAAGGCCAGCTCAGTCAGGTCTGCAGCCAGCCAGCAGGTGGCCACGGGTGCCAGCCCACCTTCTGCACCTCTTCCCTTGGTCTCCAAACTGCCCCACAGGCCCTGATTATCCTCCGGGAGCCCTGTCCTCGCCTGATGTGCCCCACTGGCTGTGTGGACACTGGACATGACCATGGGTGGCAAGGGGACCAGGCCAGGATGTCACACAAGCCCATGCTGGCCCCTGCCTTTATCGTGCCATTGTCAGGGTCCCACCCAGAACACTGAATGTCTTTCCAGGTCCCTGCTCCTCCTCTGAAAGAGACTCTGCCATCAGGCCCTCATGAAGCCATGCAGAACGCTCCTCAGCCCAAGCCAGAGTCCTGAAGACACGGTGGGTGCACCGTGTTCACCAGTGTCCAGCATCTTCCCCACAGCCCCTGTAGGGCTGCTGGCTGTAGCCTGGCTCGTTCTCGGTGATGCCCTGGCCCTCTGAGCTCCTAGGAAGCCAGCTTTCTCAGGTACTGGGCCAGAGACAGGTCCTGCTGCCCACAATCAGAGAAGCCCTGCTGGGGACCCACGTGGGTCTTCACCTAGGTGTGGAAGGAAGCCAGGGTGAAGCCAGGGTGGCTCGCTCACATTCCCGAGTAGTTCCAGGGCCCTACCTTCCTTTTCCCTGGGAAAGCATGTATTTTACTCCCCGACTTCCTAGGCATTTGGAATTAATGCGCAAACTCCTGCTAGAAGTTTGCACATGGCAACCTCTTCACTGCCCTGGGCAATGCCCCTGTGTTTGGCGATGCCTGCTGGTCCTGGGCCCCTTTGTCCTGAGCTCTGCCCTTGTTCTTCCTGAGGAGAGGGGCACCAGACCCTACCACGGGAACTTCAGGAACGAAGCCTCTGGTGCCCTCATTCCCAAGGACCCTCCCAGGGGCTCAGGAATTCCAGTATATCTGGCTGCTGTACAAGCTGGACCTGGAGCCGCTGCACCTGGAGCACCTGAGCCTGGAGTCCCTGCTGCTGGCTCTGCTTGGACGGCTCCCTGAGACACTGTTGCACTCTGAAGTCTAAGTCTTTGCTTGTGACCTAGTTTCTCCTTCTGAGCTTTTAGGACATTTTCCCATCCCTAGTGGCCTGCAACTTCACGTCGGAAGCTTTTGGACGGGTCTTTTCACTCCTCTGGGCCCGTAGTGCACGCGCTCTCTTGGGAAACCCTCGGCTTTCAGGGAGGGGAATATTTTTAGAAAATATTTCTTTGATACTTTTTTTTTTCTTTTTCCGTTTTTCTCCCTTTTTTGGATCTTATTTCCTCTAGACCTCCCAAAATGATCTCCTATGTTTTCCTTTTCTCCCATTTCTTTAGAAAACATCTACTCTTCTGTCAGATGTCCTGTTTCATGCTCTAAATGTTCCCCTTGGAGTTTTAACAAATTCTACTCTTCTACACATTCTTATAGGTGTGTAATGGGTACACACACACACACACACACACACACACACATTTCCCAAAAGTGTTTCTTAATGCTCCTTAAAACGATGTCCTGTGTCAGGCATTTCCTGCCATCTAATCACTAAGTGGCCTCCCACAGGGTCACCTGTTCTGTCCACAATCCAGGATCTGGGCAGACTGGGCTGGGCTGACTGGCAGCTGGGCAGGTTGGAGAGGGTGGGTCAGCTGCCACCTCCTGGCCAGTCCCAGGGGCTCTCTGCACACTCCAGCATGGTAGCCTTTGCTAACCTGACTTCTTATCTTGGCTCAGGGGTCCCAGCACCACTGTCCAGGAAACCTGGCTGAGAGCTGTTTGCAGCCCCAGCATGTAACCACTGTGACTGTCCTCTGGTCTCAGAGATCATAGAGGTGGCTGAGTCACAGGAGGTGGGGAAAACGGGTGTTACTTCTGCTGGCTGAAGGGCACAGGCTCTGTGGGCGCCTTCAGTCTTCACCCCTTCTTTTGTCCTGGATATATCTCCCATCTTTCCAAGGGCCATGGTGCTAGTTTACTTTTGTGATCTTGGCTGTTGCCTTTTCTTTTGCAACCTGTCATTTCTGTCCCATCTGAGTCATTGTTCTGTTTGGTCTTGTCTTTCTCCTAAATGGGCATCTTTGGTTCTCTTTCCATGTTCAGGGACACAGCACTACAGGGCTAATGGGTGGCAGCTGGGCATCACAGGAGGTCCTCTGGTCCCCAACTCACAACACTGCAGGTCTTGGTTTGGGTGTCTCTCAAAATCTACATCCACACTGAACATGAGTAGCCGACCCCTCCTGGAAAGAGGGCCCTTCAGATGTTAGGGGACTGGAGATGGCCCTGTACTGGATTTAGTGTGCACCCTGAATCCAGGGGCCGGCATCCTTGTAAGAAAAGGAGAGGAGATCTGACACACAAGATGCCACAGGGAGACAGAGAAAGAAATGATGTGGCCACTAGTCAGATACATCTGGAGCCGCCAGGACAGGAGAGCAGAGGATTTCTGCGAACCCCTTCTTGAGACAGGCCCACTGGCCCCCAGAACTCAATAAATCCTGCTGTTAAGCCACCCAGCAAGTAGTCATTGCTTATGGCAGCCCCAGGACACTCACATAGGGAGTTGTCCACCAAAAGCCCCAAGGCTGTGTCCCCTGGTTGCCGAGTGGGTCTTGCACCCAGGAAGTCCATTTTCCCTCAAACCCCTGGTTTCCAGAGGTCCCCTCCTGCATCAGCTGTGTTGGTGTCTCTGGTGTGAAGGCTTAAGCTCAGACCTCTCGGTCCATCTTGTGTGGGTGTGAAGTGGGAAGGGCCAGGTCGGTTACACAGCATCCACCAGCCCATGCAGTGGGACCGGCCAGCTGGGCATTGGCTCCGCTTCTGTCCCAGGGTTCAGCTTTCCTCTCTGCTGAAGCCACCCCAGTCCACCCTTCAGACCAGGCTGCTGTTGTCCCCTTCTGCTGGTTCTGTGCATACAGAAATGCACCATTTCCCCTTCAGGCGTCCCTGTAACTTCACAGGCATCTCCTGAAGGCAGGCAAGGGTGGCGTGGGGGTCTTGTGCTTTTTGATTGGGGCCCGATGTGAGGATTTGCTGATCTTCCCACGGAGGTCTGTCTGACAAGCAGTGTTCCGGGGTGCAGGTCAGGCAGGCTCCAGCTCCCGCCAGCCAGTGGATGGACAGAGTCAGGGAGGGGCCAAGGCTCCTACTCTGGAGCTCTGGAGCAGGAGTGCCTAGCCCGTGCTGCCTGTGGATCTGTGAGTGGGACCATCAGACACACCAACACGGTCCATGAACAGAGAGCCCTGCAGGCTCTGACTTGCTTTCTGAAAAAGCACCTTTCCTGGAATTGGCTCCTGCCCCTGCTCTGGGATTGTGGGAAGCTGAAGGGGCTCTGTTCTCATGATGGCCGGACGTGGCCACTGTCCACTGAAACTACTGGACATGCAACCAGAAAGGGAAGGATCTCCCCACTCCAGCCTGGCCCTCAACTCGCGGGGCGCCTGGGTTCCACAGGAAGTGCTGTCCAGGGAGATCCACGAGAGACTAGTTTTGCTTCCTGATTATTCTGCAGCTGGCCTGACCTTAGGACATCCCAGCTGACAGGGACTTTGGGCCAGTGGACCAGAGAAGCAGCTGGTTTAAGGCAAGATGAGAGGAGGGGAGAGGGCTCCTTGGGCCACCACATTCCCAACATCGAACGAATCCACAGGACAACTTTACACAGGACACCCAGCCCACTCTGGGGTCTTGGCTGGAGCAGAACACAGACATGTAACCCCAGGCTTTGCTAGAGGCAGCCGGGGACTGAGCACACCCCGGATCTCTGCCCTGGAAATGTGATTTTATCATGACATGCCCGGTGACACCTGATCCTGAAATGAATTCCCCCTAAACCCACCGAATGCCCCCACGCCCCATGACGGTGGTCTCTTGACATACAGAATTAAAATATGACACTTAATAGCTAATTGGAAACAAGATGCAGGTCTGTCCAGTTTCTTCTGATGTAGGAGAAGCAATGGCCACTGGTCGAGCATCTTGCAGTCTGCAATACCACAGAAATGTGCAGAGTAAGTACGGAATGGAGGGTCTGCAGCCCCAGCCAGGGATACCTGCACGGACGTCCTGCCGGCCAGGAGTGTGGGGCTATGGTCCTCACCTGGGCCTCCAGCCTTCTCCCACCGGGTCCCTTGTGAGCCCCATTACCAGGGCCACAGGCAGCCAGAGAAGAGCGGTACATGATGGAAGCGAGCGGAGGGGTGCAAGGACTGTCCCCAGGAACAAGGAGCTGCCACCAGTGCAAGGAGAGGAGCTGCTCCTGCCCTAGTGCCCTGCAGTGTCCACTGGGGTCGCACCACCCAGTACAGACGGCTGTCCCCAGGCATGTGTCCCCCAGTCATTAAATGGACCCCGGGTCACTTGGGCGCTCACTGATGTTTTCTTCTATTTTTTCCTCCTTTTAAACGCTGATCATGAGCCACTGAATTACTTTCAGGACCCACTAATGGGGTGATGACCCGCACTTGGAGGAGTGATGGTCTCGGAAATGCCAAAGTCAGCATGTCTGTGGGTCCCTGCTGGGTTAATCAATGAATCCATTCATCACAGTACTTATGCAGGCCCGAGGTGGGGGGCAGGGCTGGGGACTCCAAGGCCCAGGGCCCGCTGTGGGGCTGTGGGTGGGCACAGCCAGGGTAAGAGCAGCAGTGTCGGGAGGAGTCTGACCTAGGGATGGGCGCTGGGATGGAAGCACCAGGATTCTTAAAGCCAATTTATGAGAAAACCATCATCTCCTGGAAAACCGATTTATGAGGACAGGGGAACCTCAGGCGCTCATTTACCCACTATAATGGGTCATGACGAGACCATGAAGTGGGATTATGAGCTTCGGTTTTATGATGTTTGGCTCGAGAGTTCAACCAACCTTTTAGAGAGCTTGAAAGGAGGCCACTGAGGGCCGGGAATCCGTGGGAGCTTAGTCCTGCCATTCCCAGGATGGCTGCAGCCCATGTCCCTGACCCGGCATAAGCTCGCTCAGGACATCACCAACTGTGCTTGGTGACGAGAGAGCAACACGAGGGCCAGGACAAGGGACAGAGGCCCAGCCCAACTGCACACTCACCGCGGGAAGGAGAGCCCTGTCTCTCTGAGGACCCGGGAGGGGACATCCCCTTCCCTGAATTCTATAGGGCGCAGTCCTTCTTGGACTGGCTTCCCCCACTGTGCCGACTGTGTCCCTGACGACAGAAACAGATGTCTTCTGGGGGCTGCAGGTCCCCTGAGAGCATCCTCAGAGAGGACAGATGGAGCATCTCAGTCCTGAGCTAAAGGGTACCAGGGTCCATGCCAGATCAGGCTGGCTTTGGAGTAGGGCAGCATAGCTGATACGACCGACCCCCAGTGTTTTGACTACCTGGAACCATGGCAACTAGAACAACCAGCTTCCTAGCCACAGGGGATCTCCTGGTGCCTGTCCACAAGGGTCTTCCCACAAAGTGGGCCTGGACAATCACAGCCATTGCTTCCATGTTAAGCAGATTTGAAGCCCATCCCACTGTCCCTGGTGGTGGCCAGCCCTGGCCAATACCCTCAAGAACAGGAGTGGGCCAATATACCTTGGGGCCTGATCTCCGGCCACAGGGTGATGGGTCAATGGCCTTTGCTCTGGTCCTTGATTTGCCAGTAGAACTCCATTAAAAGGACTCGGCAGAGTGCGAGAAGAGGACACAGGCACGCAGGGAGAACGCAAGAGCAGGCAAGGCTGAGTCCCCATCCTGGTGTGCAGCAGCACTGAAGTGACAGTGCCCATCCCTCGTGTAAGATGGTGCCATGTTTGCAGAGAATCCCCACATGCCCTCCCACAGAGGTGCATCATTAAGTCCCCTGTGACTGCCGAGGGCATCGGGCTTCAGGGAAAAGCTATGTGCACCTGTGCCCTGCTGCACTCCGAGGACATGGGACCTGAGGCTACAGAGGGCCAGCTGCCACCAGGGCCCGCTGATGGCATCTTCCTTGGTGGCCTGGAGTGGCCACTTCCTGTCCCTGCACTTCTCAGGGGGCCCCCGCATACTGGGGGCTGCCAGATTGCCAGTTTGGAGGCTCCACAATGAGCCTGGGCTGTGTGTGGGGTAGGACGTGCTCCCGACTGCCTGGCCAGCTGGGAAGCAGCTACTTCAGGGAGAGGACACGTTTTGACGCTAGACACCGTGGTGGTTGCAGCCCCTTGTGAATGTATGAAACCCACAAAATGGCTCGCTTCTTAATGGGAATTTGTATTATAGGGATCCCACCACAGTAAACCAACACAGGAAGCCTCGAGTGGGGACACAGCTGTTCCTACGCTGCCTGGCCTCTCAGGCGTGGAGCTGGGCCAGACTGAGTGACGTGATGGGTCCTGCCCCGCCTTGCTCCAGCAGGGCCTGAGTCCAGGTGAGGACACCTTGTGTGGAGTCAGGAACGTCTACGAAGCCAGTGCCCTGGGAGTGAGCCCTCCACTGCCCGGGAACAGGGCTCAGCAAGGGGTGAGGCAGAGGTGCCTACCTCGCTGAGCCCCCAGCTGGTGGCCAGGCACTGGCACTGGCACAAAGGCTGTGCTCATCGGGGTCCAGGCCACGGAGGTGACTGCACCCAGGGTGTGATGTGGAGCCGGAGTGGCCGACCACGGCCCCTGGTCACTCAGCCCCAGGGACCACAGGAAGCTGTCACCCTCGTTGAGCGATCAGGGTGGTATTTTTCACAACTCTGTCAGGCGGTGTTTATGCGTGGAAGCACAGGTGGCAGTGGGACCCACTGTCGGGGAGGACACAGCCCTGCGTGGACGCACACCCTTGGATCAGAACCCCTGTGGGTCAGGACTTACATGGGCCTGTGCCGCGACCACGCTATTTCACCCTGCCTACACCTACGTGCCCGTGGCTGCTGCTAATAAGCAGTCACGGAGGTTTCTCATTTTATTACTAAACTTGGGCTGGTTGGTTTATAATGAAAATGTTATAATGAAAGTATAATGGATAAAGGAAGTGTTGTTACTGGCACACATGAAGTATATTATAGATTTACACGAGGCCCAGGACGATTCCTCTCCACACAGGTGGCCCGGGCGAGCCAAGAGGGCAGACACCCCTGACTTAGAAGCAGAGACATGCCACAGAGCCTCAGGACACCTGGAGAGGACAGAGGCCTGGAGGACAGGGTGCTCTGGTGTCAGCCCTGGCTGTTCACAGCCCACAGACACCCATCTGGCCCCAAAGTCCCGAGGTCACTGGGCACAGCAGAGGAAGGACAAGAGATGAGGAGCCCCCACCTACCCACTGCTGCACTGAGGGCTGCTGAGGCTCCTGACATCACACCATCTACCCAAGGCCCAATCCGCCACCCCAGCTGCTTGGCCACTGTGACAAAGTCTCGAGTGGATAATGAGGCTGGGCAGGAGGCCCTTGTCCATGGCCTCCCGTACCACAGGGTGCAGCTGAGAGGAGGTTGCTTGCCTCCAGGCCTGTGTCCTTGGAGGGGCCAGAGGTAGCCCAGACCTGGGGTGTCTTTATCAAACACAGGGCTCCCATCTGGGAGGGCATGGCCTCCCCCGGGGGGCTGCGAGAGGCCAGACTCCCTGACAAGGCACATCTACTCCAGACCTGAATTTGGGGGCTGGGCTGGTTCATGGGAAGAGGCCTGTCACGGTCACACTTCCTGATCGGGGACTGAGTGCCTCTCCCTGCGGTCCAGACATGGATCCCAAGGCCACTGACCTGCCATGGGGCCTTCCACTGTCAGGGGCTGCTCGCCATTAGGTCCCTGCCGTTCTGAAAAGCACTGGAATGGCAAACCCAGACACAAGGGCCCCAGACTCTCCCTGAGGTCACAGCCCACCTCAGGGTCAACCCGAGTGTGAGGGCAGGAGGCGGGAAGCCGCGGATCCCAGCACCCGCCACTGGGGCAGGACAGACCCTCGCTTCTGCGCAGGAGTACAGGATAAACCCAACACCCACAGGCATCCCGACACAGAGTGGGCCCCACGGGAGCCAGGCTCAGGTAATGCACACCTCCCTCTGCCAAGGAGGCCCTACGTCCTGGTGGTCTGTGCATTCCTAGGCGGGACTCACAGCTGGCCCAGGCGGCATGAAGTCTAAGTCTGCTCTAATTTCACAACACAGGAGGCCTCAGGACAACCTTCTGGACCCAGGGGTGCAGCATTGGCCCTCTGGCTCCAGGGGTGGAGGACACTGGGCTTCACAGTCTGGCCCTGACCTGCACTCAAAGCCATCTGCATGCCCAGCTTTTGGACCAGGTGGTCTGAGTCCCCTCCTGGGCAGCCATAGTAGAGTGGCTTCTTGGGTGTGCTGCTAGGACTGGGAAGAAAGGGTGGGTGTTTGTCTAGTCCCATCTGTGGGCTGCTGGCCTGTACAATTCCAGGAGGGTGCTTTCTAGCCCCTTGCTGGGGCCCAGGATCCCATCATCCCCCATAGAGCCAGGATCTGGCAGGGGGATGGGAGCCCAGCCCTCAGCTTCACCTTCACCTTCAGTTAGGGGGAGAGCTCATCAGCCACCAGAGAAGAGGTGACCCTGTGGACTGCAGCACTGGAGAGCCCAGAGCCACCTACATGGACACTGCAAGGGAAAACTGCCCACAGTGCCCAGGGCAGGAAGAAGGACTCCAAGCCCTCTGCTCCAACCTATGGAGGAAGAGTGGTTCTGGGAACCAAGTCAGTAATTGTTTCTATAAAGAGGAGTTCACAGAGCACCCTGCTCAGTGGGTTAAGGAGGGACTAAGGTGTCCTGAAGGTCATTAAGTGGCCACCACACCACCTCTGTGGTAGCAGAATCCTGCAGAATTCAACCCTAGTCCTGATACTTTAGAAAGCATCCAGAAGCTCCAGAGGCTCCTCCAAAGTTGAGGGTCACATGACACCCCCAACATGTGCCCCTGATACCAGATACCCTAGCTAACATGATGCTACGGTGTCGACCAGCCCCCCTGAAGGTTGAGTCCGCCACCCTGTCCTCAAGGGGACCAGATGATATGTGATCTAGGACAGGTTGCTGGGGCCAAATTCCTAAGAGCGAGGTGGGAAGTAGAAGGGATGGTAGTTCTGCTCCTGGGGGAGACACAACTTCCTGGCGCCCACAGAAAAGAGAGGGCCACATACCGTGGTGGTCTTTATGCGCCCTCCGGGCTGTGTGCACGTCCAGCCGGACCGGTTGATGAGCAGGTCACAGCCTTCCCCCTCCAGGCAGGGGAGCATGTCACACCACTGCTTGGTTCTGATGATGCGAGCTGCAGAGAGAGGAAGGCAGCCGGTTAATGCCCGGCCAGCTGCGCACAGGGATGTCCTGGAGGGGCCTGAGTCCTAGCACTGACACCAACCAGCGTGGAGCCACCAAGGGCCGAAGCGGTGTTTTCGTGCAAGAACACCAAAGGCCCTTCCTCGAGGGAGCTGGGGCTAGGTGCCAGGAGGGAGGTGGGCAGGACCTAGTGGAGTTCACAGCAACTGCGTCCCAACTCTGCAGGCCTGGGCGGATCCGGAGGCCATCCCTGCACCAATAGCCCCCAAACCTGGTCCTTGTTGTGGCCAGGGGCAGGGAGGGACAGGTCAGTAGGAGTTGACTACTGACTCCTGTGAGCCCCAGGACCCCGAAAACCAAACTGACTTTTCCTGTCCTTCCCTGGACCTTCCACCCCAGGGACGGGGGGCCTGGGGACTACACTGGAACAGAAAGCCCTGGACAAAGGGAGCCCACAGTGGAGTTGAACTAATAATGCTAATTGCATGACTGTAACCTTATTTCCAGAACCTCCGAAGACCTGCTAGCATTTCTCCACTAGGGAAAAATACCACCTCCTTTCAGATGGGCTTCGACTACCTAGCTGCACGCTTACAAAAGCAAGATCCACGAGCATGTGCTGTACTCTAGGGAGAAGCACACAACAGCCAGTGCCCAGGACTATTTCTACTCAGTGTTCACTTACACACACACACACACACACACACACACACACACACACACACTTGCGTGTGCAGGGTTCTTCCCCCTACTCCAACTTCAAGGTCAGAGAAGGGCTATTTGCATTTCACACAGGAAAAAAAAAAAACAAACCACCAAGGCCTGAGTCCAGCGCCACGCTGGAGGAGATGGCAGTGGCCATGGTGGATCCCGGTATCCGGCGCTGTACCCATGTGGGACAGCTGTGTGGCCTCCCACAGCCGGGCTCACCGCTCAGAGCTCCCTGTTTCATTTCCTCTGGTTGGGATGCTGGTAACACACGTACTGAGCTTTCCATTTCCCCGTTTGGGCTTCTCCTTCCTGAGCCTTCCGGTTCTTCCTGGCCCTGGCCCGACAGTGGATGCACGGAGCCCCACGAGGTGCTTGGACAGTAGCACCGCCCACCCTGCAGACTCCTGGCCCAGGCAAGTGGGGACCAAGCCCCTGTCGTCTGGCTCCCGCCCTGGTTCCTCTCGCTGGCAACGTCTCTGGCTCCCTGGGCTCCCACCCCTCTTGGACTTTCTTTTCTGTGTCACTTTTGCCTTTTTAAACAAGACACAGTCCTCTCCACTGGCATTAACCAGAGTTGTAGTTCTGCAGGGCAGAACTAAAATTTCTCCCAGCTGGACGGAGGGTTGTTCTCAAAGATCTGCGTGAACACTGCAGACAGGCAGCTGGAGCTCATGCTGGGCATTGGAGCAGCTGCACAGGGCCCCACCCATGACGATGCCCCACTTCCGTGCCTGGAAATCCTTGATTTCAACAAGCAGCCCAGCAGTTTCACTTTACATGGGGTCCTGCATCCGGCCCTGGAGGCAGCGACCACCCCATATGAGCAGACCGGGGACAGGCCTGGGTCATCAAGTGACGTCACCCAGCACAAAGCGGGGGGGGGGGGCTCTGCATATGGGAGGTCACAGGTTAGTGTGCAAGGTGGCGGGAGTGACTTGCCCTCCTCACCCAGGTCTGAGGAATCAGTGGGAGCTGCTGTAGATCTGCACAGAGCATGGGCACAGGTGCAGCAGAGGGGCTTGTGCACCGTGCTGCCCACCCCACCCTGGCCTCTTCATGCCACACGTGGCAAGGTGGGCCGTTCTCAGGCCACTGCTATGCAATGAGTACAGATTCACATGCTGAAGCCCTGCATCTTGTTTCTGAGGTGGGGCCTAGGGAAGTAATTAAGGTCTTACAGGGTCCCAGGGCCCTGATCGACAGGACCGATGCACTCTTGAAACAAAACAGCGCTCTGCCCACCTTCCTGTTGCTCTAGGAGGGTACAGAGAGGGGCAGTGGTCTGCAGGCCCAGAAGAGCCCTCTGTAGAAATAACCCTGCTGTGCCCAAGAGTGGAAACCCACTCTGTTGCCGTCAGCCTCCAGAAGAAAGCCAAATGTGTGCTGCTCATGCCCCCAGCCTGAGGGATCCCCCACGGCAGCCTGAACTGAGAGGAACAGGGGACAGGGGACTGTCCCTGGCTCCACTGAAATGTCAGGTGGGGACAGACACAACAGCTGAGGGTCAGGGCTGCGTCTCCAAGAGGGCACCAGGGGAGTGGGCACCCTGCTGCCCTGCAGAGCCTGGGGCAGACCCTCCTGGCGTGCCGGTTCAAAAGGACCCAGTCACCCCTGTCCGGGCTCCCCCAGCTGAGCGGCAGGCCCAAGATGCCCTCCTGGAACCCACCAGCCCCAGTACAGTGCCCACTAGCTGAGGGGCCTGACAGCGTTCCACATCTTTCCCCGGCTGCTCCTTATTCCTGCACAGTCACCAGCACCTGCATTATTTTAGTGACAAAGATGGTACATAACCCTTCCATAACCCCGTGAATAAGATGGGGGGTTACCACATGCTACCCTTAGAACCCTATTTACAGTGCCCGAGAATTCCCAAAATAAATTGCAGTGCATATGTGTGTGCATGTGCACACCAAGGTGGCACTGGGAAGGCTCTGGAGAGATGAGCAGGAATACCTCCTGTCCCAGGTGAGCCGCCCCAAGGAGGTACTCAGCACAGCCTGCCCCTCCTTGCATCCTAAACCTCATGAACCTCACCAGGGTCCCCGGGGCCCCGAGGGCCAGCCCCTTCTGCTCCGAGAGCTTCAAGTGGGAGCTCTGCTGTCAGGTAGGGGTGCCTCCAGCTCCAAGAGCTGCAGCCCAACCTGCCTCACACAGAACAGATCTGGTACAGGCCTGTTCCACAGCTGGCCCAGAACAGGCAGGGAAGTGCAGCAGCACCAGGGCCTGGGCCTGACCTGTGTGAGGGGCCCATGTGCAGGGCTGGGTGTCAGGACTCGGACCCTACAGTACCTCCTGCTGGGAGGTGGTCGAGCCAGGCACTCATGATCTGGGCAGGACCCGGCTCCTATCCCTGCCAGAAGTCAGCCAAGATTGGCCAGTTCGTGCCCATCCCTGGTTACTCACATAAGGCTGTAAACAGCTGCTCAGCATCCTAGCGGGAGGGCGTGCATGTGCCTGTCCCCTCACAGGGCCCAGCTCATCACTGGCCCTCAGCGAAGGCAGCTGGGCCTGGGTCACCATCCCCAAGCACACAGCAGGCTGCAGTGCCCCTGTGCGTATGCGCCCCCCAACGCACTCTGATCGAAGAAATGGAGGTGCAGCCAAGCACGGGGCCCCACTGTCATGGGGAGAGCCCCAGAAACAGGATGTGATGACACGACAGGCACCGGTGCTCAGAGTCAGGACTAGGCGGAGCGGGGGAGGGTGGGGAGCAGGGCTCGGGTCAGGCCCAGGATGAAGTCTGCCGCACTGCAGCCTCAGTCCCTGGCCACACACGGCACCCTACACAGACGTACGTGTGCACACAACAGGCACACGTGTGTACGCACCCACATCCGTGAAGGCTCAGTGCACACTCCCCCGACAGTCAGGCAGACCACTTGGCACTTTGACCGGAGAAGCAGCGCCACCGGCCCTGCCCGTCCCCCGGCCTGGGTGTGCCCGGGGACCAGCCCTCCGAGGACGCTGGTGCACAGTGCGAACACTCGAGTCCTTTGTTGGCCAGCAGAGCTCTGCACACCCAGCCCAGCTCACTTCCTGCTGGAGGCGGCGGGGGGCACAGTGCTGGGCCACCACGTCCCAGGGACAAAGGGGCCTTTCACGTCCATGCCGCTGCGCCTTTTCACCCGGGTACTGCCGAGCAGGCCCCTCCTCTGTCCCCGATGTGGCAGCAGCTCTCAGGGTAGGGGAAAGATGTCCTCAGAGGCTGAGGGGCATGAGGAATGGGCTTGCTGGGGGACTCTGTGGGACGCGGTCACAGCCTGCAATGTGTGACAGCCCCCATGGCTCCTCTTCGGGCGGTGGTCAGGGATTGGGGTCTCCCACATCCTGTGTCCTCTCCGCCTGCCCCGGCCTAGGGCACAGCAGCCCATGTGCATGTGCCTGGAGGAGGGAAGGGGGCGAGCCCCGGCCTCAGAGGAAGGCGGTGGCAGGTGTGCATCCAGACTGGCCTCAGGGACAAAGGGGACTGGCTCTGCCAGGCCTGAGCCTCCGGCAGGTTCCACAGGCCCAGGACTGTGTTCTCTGTCTGCATTGACAGCCATCTCCAAAGCAGGGTCCATGATCTAGCCACAGTCAGCATGGCACACACACACACACACACACACACACACACGAACGTCCACACGTGTTCTTGGCATTTATTTTTCAGAACTGGTTGCTGACCCTGCCTGGAGCTGACCACATGCGAGTCCCCAACCAGCCCTCACTGTACACGTTCAGGGGCATAGCTACCCTCAGTGACTGTGGGGCTGGGAGACTCTTTGGCTGGAGTCATGCTCCTTGGCCTGTCCCCCAAGGGAGGGACAGCCCACAAGTTCCACTGGCGGTGGCCAGTGAGGAGGGCCACACCCTTGCACCCCGGTGGGAAGCACTTTCTTCTGACACCAGAAGCCCGGAGGCTTTATCTCCTCTGCCCCAGTTGGTTCCATCACAGGAGAAGGCTGAGTTCCATAGCAGGCTGGGAACTTTGTTCCAGGTTTTCCCCAGCAAATGTGGGGCCTACCACAGCTTGGAGGGCCTGCCTTGGGGCCTCTCCGCTGCCTTTCCTGAGTGTGTGCTCTGTTAACAGCAGGGACAGCTAGAGTCAAGGCAGTAGGGCCCCTGCACTGCCAAGGCAGTGCACCCTACCAGGTACAGACCAAGGGCGTGCTTGTGACACATATGTGTCCACGACACCATGTTTAATCACATTTAATCACCCACCCTCGGGACCCCGGGTGAATTCCATTAGGACAAGGGGGGCCCAGCTCTGCCGCTCCTGACGGAGGGCCGGGGTAGCAG